GTCCCTGTGTAAACGGACCCGCATATGGGGGGTGTAGGGCGAAGACGTAAAACAGAGACGCGGAGCGAGTGAATGTGGGATCAGAAAGAAAAAGGAACGTGTGCAGAGAGAATTGTAAATTAATAATTTTAAAAAAAGAGCTGCATTTTTGCCAATTATAGAAAGTTCTAGAAGACATTTTGAAGGATGCTGCCCAAAACATCAACATTTTGTAATAATCAAAGTTCATGCTTAATAATCCAGGTATAAAATCTGATGAAGTCCTTTGGATGAAGGACGAAACGTCTCAAAAAGAAAGAGAAAGAAACCGTCAAGATGACCTGACTGAACTTTGATGATTTCTACCTGGATTAATGAGCATGAACTTTGATGTTTTGAATCACTTTGGCTATGGCTGCCTCAGAGGAGCTGATTGGGGAGAGGGCGGACCCCAGAAACCATCTTATCACCATCAAACTGGTTGGTCCACTATGTGGGTGTGCTGCTTGTGGGTTTGTTATGGCTCCTCGGACTGATGAAGTCCTTTGGATGAAGGACGAAACGTCTCAACAAAAAAATTAAAAAACAGAAACCGTCCAGATGACCTGACTGCACTTTGGTGGATTTTGTAATACAGTAGTCCCCTCGTTTATTGCGGGGGATCCATACCTGAAGACACACGACAAGTGAAAATCCACAAAGTAGTAATAGTAGTACAAATAGTACGTAGTAGTTTATTTTAGTTTTATATATACATTTAAACCCTTCCCACACTCTTGCAATATTCTAAACAATGTTTCTAAACTCTCTAAAAAGTACAGAATGTCATGATTTCATCTCTCTGCCTCCTCTGCTCTTTGCCACCTACAGGCACTCTTGGCCACGCCCACTTCTCTGCTGCACAGTGCACAGCTGATCAGCTGCAGCAGGAAGTTTATCCTTCAGTATGGACTACACAAATGACCAGCAGGTGCTAAATAATTTAAAATAATTCCTTTAAAATAAAAATTATATGCCGATTGTGCGGCTCATCCATCAATCAGCCAATTGTGTGTCATGTCCACTTTTATTTTGAAAAACCACGATAGTAGCGAGGGACTACTGTAATTTAAATGAAGACAAGACGCCTACAATTTTACATACATGGTTTGCAAAAAGAACCAAGATTAGTAGAGCTCCATTGCACGACTACAACTGGTCCAGAATGCAGCAGACCGATTTTTAACCAGTACAGGCAAAAGAGAGCACATTACACCAGTTTTGGCCTCACTGCACTGGTTACCGGTTCACCTTCGAATCCAGTTCAAAATACTCATGTTTGTCTACAAATCGATGAACAATTATTTTTACGCCGGACGCCCTTCCTGATGCAACCACAGCCCTCTGTGTGGAGCAGAGAGCTGCTATCTAGGGCGCCCAGGGGCGCAGATGGTGGGGGTTAGGGGCCTTGCTCAAGGGCCCAGAGTGGGGCAAATGAGGGTGGAGACAGGTGTGGATGCTTCACCTTTTCCACCCACGTGTTGATGTTGTCACTCTGGGGAGTCAAGCATGCGACCTTCCAATGACAGGCTCACCTTCTCTAACCTCTGCACCACCACTCCCCCCACAAAATAAGCCTTCAATAAACAGTCTCTATGCAAAAACTAAGTCAGATCTCACAAATTCTTGAAGACTCTAGTGGTCACAGATAAAATAAATTAAGTTCTCTACAGTGTCTGATGGACTGTAGGGTGGACACGCTGAAGACATTTCCACTATTGAGGACATTTTGAGTTCAACATAATCTATGTCTGTTGGAAGACTGAACTGTGGTTTTGAGGGTGAATTTAAGCAAAAACTACACAGCAATGAGATACACACTGGATAAAAAAAAGACAAAACTCCCGATGTTTCGATGTATAATTTGTATATACATCAAAAATTACCGGCATGTGTGTGAGAAGGAGGAGTTAGTCTGCGAAAGTTTTTTCAAAAGATCAGCTGCCAGAAGAGCACGTCAAATCCCCTAAAGTCACCCAACTTCTGTCGTGCAAACACCAGGACAGATTTCCTAATACCGGTCCGGTAATGTGACGTCCAACTACCTGTGAGCTGTTTAAACCTCAAAGGATGCTTCTACCGTGAACTTTGCCTGAACTGGAGCGCAAAGAGGGTTTTCTTCTGTTGAAATCCACCATTGATTTTTTTTTTTTTTTTTTGGTTCAACTTTGTCAACATTCTGCAGCGTATACCACGCCCAAAAGTACACAACTCCTGATGGAGCAGCACGTTTTGATGTATAATTAAAATGTTCTATTTTAAAAGCTGTGCAGTAACGGAGGTACAGGACAAAATCTTTCAGGAAGCAGAAACAAGAGTTTTAATGCTTACTCATGCAGAATCCACATTGACACACATTAGCACGAGGTTAGGGGGGAAAAGCTACTTTCATGTTCAGAAGTCACAAAAAATTATATATACATATATATATATA